CAATAATAAGAGTATCAATACCAGGAGGGGAAGGGGAAGGTGGGGGGAGAAAGCGGAACTGATCACAATGATCAATATATAGCCCCCTCCCAGGGAGACGAACAACATAAAAGTGGGTGAAGGGAGACATCGGTCAGTGTAAGACATGAAAAAGATAATAATTTGTAAATTATCAAGGGTTGAAGAGGGGGGAGGGAATGAGCTGATATCAAGGGCTCAAGTAGAAAGAAAATGTTTTGAAAATGATGACGGCAACATATGTACAAATGTGCTTGACACAATGTATGTATGAATGGATTAGGAGCTGTAAGAGCCCCCAATAAAATGATTTTTTAAAAAGAAAACAAAACAAAACAAAAGAACTGAGACCAGGCACAGGGCCCACTCCTGTGCCTTCTGCCTGCTCCATGGACGCCCGACCGGATTTGGAACGTCCAGCCCCGCCTGGCAGACTAGCTGCATTTGTTCATAAGTGGCATTAGTATGTGTGCTCCCCTTTACTGTGTGGAAGATACTTTACAAACTCGCTTTTCTTAATCCCAACAGCTTCAATAGAAGTCTGTCACTCCTTTTTACATCCAATGACTAATCCCAGTCATCTGACCCCCAGTACATCATGAAAGGAGGCTGCCTACCCAAGCTTGCACCTGAGCCAGCCCCTGGGAGAGCCCTGGGCTCACTGCGGAGGGTGGGTGACGGAGTGGGTAGGAGGCTCCAGTGGGCGCCCATGTGTTGGGTCAGGAGAGGAGCCGTCACTGACACTGACCGACACTTAGCAGCGTGGGAGGGCTGGCCAAGGGAGTGTGGTGAGGGAGGGCGGGGAGCGAGCTGAGTAAGAGAACATGAGGTGGAGACACCAGAGGGGCCCCACCTCGCTCTTTAGCTCAGTGCCCCCTCAGGAGCTAGGCCAGGCACAGAGGATAACTCATGCTCCAGGAGGGGAGGAGAAGCTGGCTGAATAGTAGGAGAGCTAGGAGGAAGGCCTCTTGGCCACACACTGAACGGTCTGAAGCCAGGTGGGGCCAGGACAGAGGAGAGTGGTAGGAGCACCCTGGATACAGCCCAGCACAAACTAGACCATGAACTTTCTTTCCCTGGGCCAATGCTGTCCACACGTGGGGTCCCTGAGGGGAGGCCCAGCTTGGAGAGAGAGAGAGAGACAGTCGCAGGCCACAGGACCAAAGCAAGGAGATGGTCTGAGACAAGTGGAGGTGGCATAAAACCACTCCCTGCAGCAGAAGCGGGGCGGAGGAAGTGGGGAGTAGGAAGGTCCCGGCTCTCCCACCCACCTAAGCCCTGTCTCCTCTGCCCTCCTGACCACAGTTGGGCCCCGGATGACCACTGAGCCCCAATCGCTGTTGGTGGACCTGGGATCTGATGCTGTCTTCAGCTGCGCCTGGATTGGCAACCCTTCTCTGACCATCGTCTGGATGAAGCGGGGCTCTGGCGTGGTGAGTGGCAGCTCAGGCTGTCGGGGCCAGGGGTAGGGGGATGACCTTCCAGGGCCCTCTCACTCTTAATGGGCAGAGTCCGCCTCCATAGAACCCTGGTTACTCAGTGAGTTCGGTATTGGGCTTTTACCTGCAAGGTTGGTGGTTCAAACCTACTAGCCACTCTTCTGGAGAAGGAGGAGGCTGTCTGCTCCCATAAAGATGCACAGTCTTAGAAACCTGATATGGGGCCACTGTGAGTTGGAATCAACTTGATGGCAATTGGTGGGTTAAGGGTTAAGGCCAGTGTAAGTTAAAGGACAGAGGGGACCCCAGATTCCTGGGTGTACACCCTTAGCCCTAGGCAGGGGGGCAGGCATTCAGCCATTGCAGGTTTTCATGAGCCTTATGAGCGTTTTGGGAGCCCAAAGACCCCAAACTCAAATATATTTTGTAGAGACCCTAAAACAAGACAAAAATGTATCATCCAGACGGTGGGGATCCCCACATGGGGTCATGATGGTGTCCCAAGGATTCACAGCCATGTGGCTACTTAGAGAACTTGGAAAACAGAAGGAATTGTCACCCCATCTTGTTTAGTAGCAAGTCAATTCACCAGGGTCTCAGGTGGAGCTATGGTAGGGGGAGAGGGACTATAATGGAGATATATACAGATGGGAACATTTCCAGAATTGGTTCTCCCCGCACCCCTACCTGTTATATCTTGTCAGGCTGTGACTCATCCCCATGTGGCCCTGGTACCCCAATTTCTATGAAAGGTATTTTTAGGCAAGTCTCTGAGGGTGAGATGCCCTTCTCTGGGCTGAGTAACACTGTCCACCCTTCCCCCGTGCACACACACACACAGCCACTGTTGTTGTTAATAAGTGCTGTCTCTCAGGTCCAGCTCACAGCAGCCCTATGTACAACAGAACAAACCACGTGTCCAGGGTCTTCCTGTTTTTCACTGCCCTCTACCTTACCAAGTATGGTGTCCTCCTCCAGAGACTGGTTTCTCTTGAGAACATGTCCATCGTAGAAGGTTTTGAGGCTATAAAACATTGCTAGGACAGATAATATCACCTTTCTATCCCAAAGAGCTGCTGATGGGTTTGAACCACTGACTTGGGGGTATCAGTCCAATAGAAACATCAGGGCTCCTCTGGCTGGCTCCAAAAACCGCGTCGCCATCAAGTCGATGCTGACTCACAGTGGCCCTAAAGGACAGGGTAGACCTGCCCCTGGAAGTCTCCACAACTCCAAAGCTTTATGGGAGCAGAAAGCCTCATCTTTCCTCCTTGGCGGGACTAGTGGCTTCAAACTGGTGACCTTGAGGTTAGCAGCCCGCCTTATAATCCACTGGGCCACCAGGGCTCCTTCGGGGCCAGTGGGGTGGTGGGGGTTGTAATCCACTTTCAAATACACTGCCTGAGGGTAACCACGTACTCCATGGTCAGAAAGAACTTAAAAGGACGTCGAATTTCCATCAGGATTCCAAATGGAGTTGGGACTCTCAGCATAAGCTGTAGCCCTTCTGAAAACCAAGTGCTTAGAAGTTAAGCTCTAATACGTGAGAAAACATAGTCACCAGCATGGCTTTTCAACTTCCCCTAAGAGTCGTTCTCCTTTAGCCTTTAGGTAAGTATTGCTGCCGTTTTATGTCATTTTTATTTTTAATGTCTATATTTTCCAGGTATGCGTCTATGATTGCTCGTGCAAAGCCAGCGAGGAGGGGGATGGTGGGGGGAGAAGCAGGAGGAAACCGATCGGTTGCCATATGCCAGACACAACCCTGTCCTTAAAGGATCACTGTGCCTATCACACAGATCAAAACAACAACCGAGGGTCAGAGAAGTTCAATAACGGAGCTGGGATTCACACTTGGTTCTAGCTAATGCCCAAGTCTGTGTTGTTTTCATCGCCCCGAGCTATATCCCAAAGAGATGCTGAAATGACCCAAGCAAGTTTGTGCACAGGACAATTGCACCCATGCATCCCCTGGGAGAGGAGAGGCCGGCACAGCCCAGCAACCTACTAAGTCCCCAGACAGAGAGATTCCCTCCTTTCCCCACCCCTCCCCCCAACACCATGCGGCTGGTGTTAGCTGCCGTCCAGTTGGCCCCTGATTCATGGTCATCCTAGTGCCCAGTCATTTTCAGATCAGACCGCGGTGGCCCACAGACTTTCCATTGATCATCAGGTCTCTCTTCCTCGTGCTCTTAATCTGGAAGATTTGCTGAAACGTGTTCAGCATCATAAGCAACACTCCAGGCCCCGAGGTGGTGCATTGGTCAGAAATGGGACCCAGTCTCCTGAGTGGAAGTCCAGACTTGTGTCACTCAGCTGGCAGGTCCAACCCGACCTTTGCATCTGATCCTCCTCATTTCTCCTAGGTCCTGAGCAATGAAAAAACCCTGACCCTCAAAACCGTGCGTCAGGAGGATGCTGGGAAGTACGTGTGCCGAGCAGTGGTTCCCCGGGTGGGGGCCGGGGAGAGAGAGGTGATGCTGACAGTCAATGGTAAGAGCCCATTGGGGCTGGGATTGGGGCTGGGACAGGAGGGAGGGGAGAGGGGCCCATGCTTCCTGGTGCCTGACGTCACTGCAAGGGAGAATTACTGGTTTTGTCTCTTGCTACCACCTGCCACAATATTCCCATCACTTTGCCCAGAAGTCTCAAAAAATTCCTAGTCCTGGCAGTCTCTGGATTAAGAGGTCACTTCCTAGCTCTGCCTTTAATAACTTGCAGGCAAATTGGAGCAGGTGCGTATGGTACATGCCATTCTTGGTTAACCATCTGTCCATATGACATTTAAAACTTGCACATGCAGCGCCTGGAGGTGATTGTGATGGAGAATGTGTTGTGAGCAGCGTTGGTCAGTCATTTCAAAGTGAGGGCGCGTTTGAGCTTAGTCGGACAATTATAACCCTGGGGTCCGTCTGTATATCCCTTCTTTGTTAACGTCGGAGGCCTTAGGAATGATCGCTGACCATTTTCTTCTGAGTGTAGAAGAAAGGATCAGGGGTCACTTAGTGGCCTTTGGCCCACCTAAAGTGTCCCTGACCCTGGTGGAGGACCTAAGGGCACATTGGTGAGCACTCTGGCTGGCCTCTTCTCATTGTGTTTGAGCTACTCGACCTAGAAGCTCCATGGCCTTCCCCTAAGACCCAGTGCCACAGCATCGGTTCAGTAGGAGCACGTCTGCATAGCCCCCAGACAGAGGGGGCGTAGCTAAGTGATGGGGCTAGGGGACAAGGGTGTCAGACAGACCAAAATAATGTTATACAGGTCAGGGTGAGCTGGAGGGCCTCTGGATCCAGCCCCAAATCTGGGCCCTACAGCAGGACTGAGCAAAGGTTCTAGGAATTAGCCCAATTCTGCTTCCTCTCACCTCGGGAAGACACCTGCTCATCTCTCCCCCAGCCCTTGCCCCCTTTGCTAAGATACTGAAGCCAGCTTGATGATTCCTTGGCTCACCCACTCCACTGTCCCCATCCACCAGCCCCTCCACATGAGACACAGGGGCCACAGAGAGAAGGTGACAACACCCAGAACCCAGAGCACTCACAGGCCACCTGGTCAAAAACCCGGAGCCTTCCTGCCTCTCCCTATATGTCCCCAGGAAGCCGCCAATGAATTGGTGCTGTAGGGCTAAAAATAACAGCATCTGATAGTGCCTCCTTGTATCCATGGCAACACGGACTGCAGCCTTTTCCTGCCATGCCCAGTGTCTGACACGGCAGCGATGACATCAGTGGGAGCCGAGGCCCCTCTTGGGGTCCCCCTCAAGGGGCCTGGTCTGCTACCCCATGGCCAGCATGCTGAGCTTCTCCCTCAGACTCCCTCCATGCCTGAAGCTGGGAAATGAGCCTCCTCCTGCTGGGGAGGGGAGGAAAGGAGAGGCTGACATGATGTGCATTTCAGAAGGCAAGCCCTTCCCTAGCAGAGCTTTAAAGTGGTTTATTGTGGAGAGAACACCCCCTGGGAAGCCCAGGCCTGAGTTGGACATTCTTTCCAGATGGGGCCCTGGAAGCTTCCCAGTATGTGATCTGTGGTGGCCAAGCCCATCTTTCCAAACCCTTCCTTTCCTTCCATATTCCTCTGTGTTCCAAACCCTTCTTCCCTTCACTGCCCAGAAACTGGGAATTGTGGGGGGGGGGGGGAAGGGCATCTATAAGATAGCAGGCAAATGCATGTGTGGTTATGGGCTTCTTAAATAAAAGCAAAAATCAGGAGAAAGAAAGGGAAGTGGGGCTGGATGCTGCTCTGACTGCCAAGAAACCACCCACTGGAGGGCTGCGAAGGAAGGGCCGCTGTGGGTCTCTGGACTGCAGTCATTTGAGGGAGCCTGGGGACATAGTGGTGACCAATCAGGCTGTGAGCCAGGGGCCATCAGGGTCGACATCGATTCCACGGCAGTGAGTTTGGTTTGGTAGAGGGGTGTTTCCTGAGAGCCCTGGTAGAGTGGTAGGTTAGTGTTGAGCTGTTACTGCAAGGTCAGCAGTTCAAAACCACCAGCCACTCTTAGGGGCAAGATGAGGGATTTCTGCTCCTGTAAAGAGTCCCAGGCTTGGAAACCCACAGGAACAGGACGGTCCATCATGAGTCAGGATCGACTGGATGCCAGTGAGAGAGGAAGAGAGGGGCTCCTTGCCCCCAGGCAGGGAGATGGAGGCAGTGGCTCAGAGAGAGAGGCGTGCCAGCTCTTGTTGCGGCGCGGACTATGGGTCTGTCTCTGGATGGCGGACGCCCTTTGGAAAGCCACGTGGACATGAGCGGAGGGGCTCTGGCCTGCAAGAGTCCAGGAGAAGAGAAGTCTCTTTCAACAAAACCCACCCAGCCAGCAGAGGGCCCTTCAAGGAAGGAGCTGGCCAGATTTGGCTCAAACCCGGAGGTCTGTGGGACGGGGGAATTCTGATGAGCCATGCCCCTTCCATCCTAATTTCCCTCAACCCTGACTTTGGCTTTCTATTAAGACGCTCAGCTCATTCGCACACATAAATTTGCATTTTAGAACTACCCTCCAAAGAATTCCTAGTTCCTGGGAGGCAAAGAGAACTGGGCCTGGGCATCCTCACCCAATGACAAAACAATATGTCATCCAGCCTCCTCAGAAGCCCCCAGCTCTCCTGCCCTCTGGCCCAAAGGCTTCTTTGATGCTCAGGGATTAAAGGGAGGGAAGGCAGGTTTACCTGGGCGTTTTCCTGGGCATCCCTACCTGAGGCGCTACCCTGCCCAAGGCCTTCCTAAACTCCGTGGAAATCATCTGAGAGTTTCCCTCCTCCCAGCTGAGAGCGACTCATAGAAATGCAAATCTGTTTTAATTAAGGTGGCTAATAAACAGCAATTAAGTTTGCAGTGATTTTTGTTTTGTTCTCAGCATAATTTTGCCTGTTTTCCAGATCCCTAGTTCCCCCTCTCTTTCCTGTTTTCTGCTGCCTAACCCCTATCATTGCCCCCAAGGAGGCTCTGTCCCTCTGCCCAGCAGTCCAGCAGGTTTCCGGAGCAACTGACACCACCAAGCAGTCCCCTTGCCCTGGGAGGTGTCAGGCAGGAAAGACGGTCAGAAAAAGGCAGAGATACTAAAAGCCCCCCAAGGCTGTCCAGGACAGCTGCTCTGGGAACTAAACACTCAGAAACATAGCTTGCTCACTCTCGCCCTCTCTCTCTTTCTTTGACACACACAAACACTCAGTATATGTATATACATATACATATATACACACACACACACACACACACACACACACACACACATAGAGTTTCTGAGCCCTGGTCTCATCGGGGACAGTCTGGGTGTGTATGTGGAGGCAGGCCAGACGATGAATTATATTCGCCCTCTTCAGACCTAGGTGAGACCCCGGCTGTGAACGTGCAGTGCGGTGATTCCCAGGGTGATCCCTGCCCTTGGTAGAGGCTGGAAGATTCCATTTCTCCCAGGCTGGCTCAGCCCAGCCCCTAGGGGACGTTGGTTTCTTGTACAAGCCCTCCCTCTACTGGATCGCTGATGAAAACGTGAAATTAAGCTGGCGCTGTGTGGTCTGTGGTCAGCTGAATGTGCGCTCCCATGGAGCTTGGCATTTGCCAGTGCCTCTTCCTTCAGGCCCCAGCCACTCCCCTGCTCCCTTCCCTGTCCCCCAAGTAGAATGAGTTCCTCTCTTGGGAAGTCAGCACGACCTACCCCACTCCGGGATGCTGCACTCACCACCTTTTAGTGAGGTTATTTATATCTTCTGGGGAGTCTGACTTCCAAGCTTTCCCTCACGACCCCATTGAGAGGTTTACGGCAAAATGTCTGATTCATCTTCCCATCCCCTGCCTTGCACCTTACTCTGCAGCCCCTCAGCAAACGTTTGCCGAATGACTGGGCGGACGAATAACTTCCAAACCAGAAACCTGTCCTTCCCAAGTCCCCACCACGATGCTGTCTCTCCACAGGGCCCCCCATCATCTCCAGCACCCAGACCCAGCACGCCCTCCACGGGGAGAAGGGCCAGATCAAATGCTTCATCCGGAGCACGCCGCCGCCAGACCGAATCGTGAGTGCCCCAGCAGTGCCATCTCACTGCCACCCTCGTCCCCGGTAGCCTCATGGGAAGGGGCATCTCTGGGCGCTTCTCCGCCAGGAGCTGTGAGGCTTCAGTGGGGAGACTATACCTGCCTTGTCCCTGAAGGGCAGGCACTATGGAGCCAAGATTGTCCAAGGTCTCCTCTGGGAGCGCTCAGCTGAGCTGATTCGGATTCTCCAGGAAGCCTGCCTCCTAGGAGCAGAGGGGCAAGTGGGTGAGGCCGAAGGCGAAGAGGAATCCCCTCCTTCCCTCTCTTGGGTTCAAGGCCAACCTCTGGGAATTCTTCCAAAGAGTTCCGTGTCTCTTTGGAGAAGCCCCTTCTGTGCCTTCCGCGCCAGTCCGGTCTCTCCCCACCTCCCTTGTGTGCCTCTGAAGCCAACCACATCTATCCAGGGTTTTCCCTGGAAAATAACTACACCCCCGCCCCTTCCATTCCGCTGCCGCTAGACAGCCTGCGGACGTCCCACTTGCGCTCAAGCACCGGCCTTTGGAACGGGGAGCGTCTTCCAGCCAGGCCGTCTCTGGATGGCGCCGCTGCTTCAGGGCTGCGGCTGCAGAAGGAATGGTTCCAGGCTCACGTCGACCCAGGGCGCCGGGGAGAAAATGCCTGGCCAACTACTGCCTAAAACGTCACTACGGAAACCCCTATGGGAAGCCGTTCTACTCCCCCTGTCGCCAGGCATCCGGAGAGCGGCTGGTGGTTGGTTGATTGGTTTTTTCAGCCAAGTGCATTTAAGTCTAGGGGACGCTCCGACGTGAAAACAGAGAAAAAGGAGCATTTTCAAGCCAGGTCCAGGAATTAACGTTCCTGTTAGAAATCCCCAGTACTCCAAGCCTCCCTTCTGCCCCTGTGAGTTGCACAAGACAATTCAACTCTGCACAGCGCACCTGTGCCGGGCGTGCGTGCAGGGGCGTCCGCGGGACCAGGACCGGACCGGACCGAGGCGCTGCGGCTGCACGTGGATGTGTGGAGACACGAAGGCCTTGCGGCGAGGGATTGTCTCCGGAGTCGGACTGAGGAACACTTTGCCAACCTTCAGTCCACTGGCCTCTGACAGAGTCACAAGAACGGTGCAAGAACTCACTCACGCATGGCACAATACAGATGCCGCCCATTCACCCCGCTCTTTATGTTAAAAATTAAAATAAAATCATAAAGGTGACATTTGCCCTTCATGAAACATGGCCTTCACTCCTAAGCATATACACACGACCTTTGTCTTCATAGCAAGCTAACTCTCCAGCTGTTCCCAACCAGGGGTGAGTTGGGTCTTATCTTTGGTAATTAGGAGCCCACATAGTGTAGTCGTTGTGCATTGGGCTGCGATCTGCATGGTCGGCAGTTCGAAACCACCAGCAGCTCCGAGGGTAAACGACTGGGCTTTCTACTCCCTAAAACAGTTCCGGTCTAGGAGAGGCTGGGGGAGTCACTAAGAATCAGCGTTGACTCCATAGCAGTGAGTTCAGGTTGGGTTCTCGCCATGATGGGATGGGGTTCTACTACCATCTAGTGGTAAGAGATGGTATTAAACTTTCTCAATGCCAATTGCAGCTGCACAGCGACCCTACTCAAAGACTGTAAATCTTTACGGGAACAGACAGCCTTAGGTCCTTTTGAGCAGTTGGTGGGTTTGAACCACTGGCCAGTGGTTAGCCTAGTACACCTCCTGTTCCTCTCAGATTTCCTAATCAGTACAAGGACATTAGCAAAGGGACACCAATTACTGATCGTGATTCCTCCCGGGATATCACATCCTTCCAGTCAACGCTGGCCACCCTGGCTTTCCCAGTGCCTGAGCATGTGGAAGGTCACTTCCACACCTTATAGGCAGCACACCAGGCCCAGGCCCAACACAGACCCACTTTTGAGCCAGTCCCCATTTGGCTCGAACAGACTGTCTGGATGGAGAGATTGACCCTTCTGTACTTTGGACACGTTGTCAGGAGAGACCGGTCCCTGCAGAAGGTCCCTGAAGAAGGTTGGTAAGGTGGAGTGAGGCATCTGAAAGAGGAAGGCCCTCCACAAGATGGATGGACACAGGAGCTGCAACAATGGCTGGGGCAGAGGAACAATTGTGAGGATGACAGAGGACCAGGCCCTGCTTCTGTTTCGTTCTGGCACGCACAGGGTCGCTATGGGCTGGAACCAACTCGATGGGCCCTCACAACAACAGTGCTTTGGATTCTGGTGATCCCCTGTCCAGATTGGCTGAGCTCAGTGGGCTGGAGACTTCTGCTGTGTGCATTCCACCTAGCACCAGGTCGCCATGGGACCCTAAGGGCCCCTGACCCCCATTTCATGCCCCAAATCCTTCAAGACCTGCTACAGGGAGAGCCATGGAGACTTCTTCCATCTGATCCCTGGACAGTGGCACCAGCCTAGGAAAGTCTCTAACTCTGCTGGCAAGCTTCAAGCTTCCGGTGGGGCAGTGGGGTATCCTAAGGCCTCATCATGCCCACCTCTCCCTCCTTTGTACTCGTCTGCCCGTGTTTCAGTGTTGCCTGGCTGTTTTAGAAAACCAAAGATTCCCAGGGCTATTTTCTGCTGCCAGAGAGAGACAAAAGGCCAAGCCAATTCTTGATCCCACACCCTTACAACCAGAGTATTGGGTCATGTTGGGAGAGCCCTCCTCCGGGCCACCCTCCGCGTACTTAACCCGACATGAGACCACAGTCTCAGAAATACCATGATCTAGTGCTGGTGAGGCGCTTCCATGCTGAGGTGGTTACAGTGTAGGCGGAACAACTCTAAAATATTGCGAATGATCATCCTTGTAAACACACATAGTACAGCATGCACACATGCAATTCTCTAGCCATACTTTTAAAAATAGACCTGCAAAGCCACTAGGAGCTAGTGATCGGCCTCAGCCCTGCTAGGGCAGCAGCAGGCACAGGGTGTCTGTGAGGAGGAACCAGGTGGACCCACAGGTAGGGGTTCAGATTGTCCCCACAAGATTTCCCATATTTGCCTAAAGACCAAAGCACACACACACTTAATGTACTCATTGCCATCGAATCAGTGCTGACTCAGAGCCTTGCCTGTGGATGTCCGAGCCTATAACTTTTTACTGGAATAGAAAGAAAGCCCTTGCTCCTGAAGAGCTGCTTGTGGCTTCAAACTGCCAACCATGTGGATCACCGCCCAACATGGAACCACTACACCATCAGGGCTCTTCGGCCTTGTTAGTGAAAGATGCACATTCAACGCAATCCGGCGATAAGGATAACAACAAAACAGAGGCTGTGCAGTCAGTCCTGACCCATGGTGCACCATGACGTTCCCAAAGGCTGGTTTTTTCAGCACTGGATCACCTGACCTTTCTTCTGAGCTGTCTCTGAGTGAACCTGAGCCACTAATCATACAGTTAGCACTCACGCGTGTTCATCAAGTGCACCGCCCAGGGACCCACTAAACCTTCACAAGACCTTCTTGGGGATGGATATACACCCACTGAAGTGGTCCCAGCCTGGGGGGGTGCGAGCGAGGTTTGTGTCGTGTGCTGTGTGTGTTGTGCGCATGTTATATATGTGTTGCAGGTGTGTAACACATGTGCTGTGTGTGCATGTTGTATATATGTTATGGATACGCTAGGCAGCGTGCTATGTGAGCTGTATAGGTGCATGTTGTATATATGTTACGGATATATTGGGCAGTGTTACATGTGCTGCGTGTGTGTTGTATAGCTCTTACGGATGTTCTGGGCAGCGTGTTACCTGTGCACACATGTTGGGGACAGGGGCTGTGGCAGTGACCGTAAGCATCAGCTCTTGTAGGAGGGTGGTGGCTCTGTGGTCCTGGTGGCCGTGGCTCGGGTGGGGTGCCCCTCCTAACCCTGTGCACCCCGGCAGGCCTGGTCCTGGAAGGAGAACGTGCTGGAGTCAGGCACCTCAGGGCGCTACACAGTGGAGACGGTCAGCACCGAGGAGGGCGTAATTTCCACCCTGACCATCAGCAACATTGTGCGGGCCGACTTTCAGACCATCTACAACTGCACTGCGTGGAACAGCTTCGGCTCTGACACGGAGATCATCCGGCTCAAGGAACAAGGTGGGGGGCTGCCAGGACCTCGAGGGGAACAGCGGGCCCTGCTAGGCCTTCTCGCCCAGGGCAAGGGCAGTCATCTTCTGGGGAGTGGGCAGCTGCAGGCAAGGTCTCCTGGGTCCTGAGTGGACAGCACACCTAGCAGAGGGCTCCAGACCAGGGCAGAGCCAGGGCAACCATGACGCCCTTCCACACTTCCCACATGACCTTGGGCACAGCAGCTGCCTTCCTGGACCCCAGCTCCCTGCAGTAGCAAGGACGACTGCCTGCACCAGGAAGCAACGAGGGTGCCACTGCCAGGAAAGAAAGCTTTGCACTAAGTGGCAAAAGTGACTCCTGGTCATAATATCAAGCCACCAAGCAGCTTCTGAAGGCTCTGGCTCTCTCTGTACACTCTCCCTAGTGACCCAGCCGGACCCCAAGCCATCCGCAAAGGAATGTGACTGGCTGGGGAGTGATGGGAGGGTGGGGGTGGGGCTGTTGGAGCAGGAGAGAGGGGCCTGAGTACAGCCAGGAGAATACCCCAGATGGGTTTGCTGGGGAACCTGCCCCGTCTCCGTTAAGACCACAAGCCGGTCCAAGTTTCTCACAGTGCACCCCCCTCAGAGGGGTGGGCACCAAAGCCAAAGCTAAGGTGTCCGGCTTGAGCTGTCCTGATCCCTGGGGGGAGGACCGGAGGTAGCACTGAGAACACTGCATGTCAGCCAGGACCACCGAGCTCTGCAGGACACAGCAGCCAGGGGGCAGCTCCCAGGAGGTAAGGGCAGGGTGCAACTTCAGTCTGGCCGCAGGGCAGGGCGCAGAGGACTCCAAGGGCAGCAGGAACATACCCACCCTGAGGTGGGCTCTAGCTCTTGACCCCGTGCCAGCCTGGGCTATGTCTCGTCATGGTCAAAGGCTTCATGCTCAGCTAGCCTGGGCTTTAGGGCCCATGCTAGTGAGCCCAGAAAGCCACGCGCCCAGGGCACCTGGGTCTCAGTTGACACCCTGCCCCTGAGGTGCAGGTCCCCTTGCAGCCTGTCAAGAGAGTTGGCTAGGTCCCCTCAGACTTCCGTGCCACCCTGTGGATGTGCCAGGTATCCCTAAAGCCCTCCCCAGAGATGTGCTGCTTGGCATATTGCTTTGCCCATAACTTGCATAGTCTCATCCACACATCATCTCAAACCCTCGCCCCCCCCACCCCCGTGGCTTACCCTCCATGTCTTCTCCCCAGTGCCGCCCCCACACTTTTCCTTAGTGTCTAATCCCACCACCACCCCCCACTCTATTTTTCTCTGCCCCTCCCTTCTGGAGTCCCCCTGAATGAACTCCCAGTGGAGTCCTGCCGGGCTGGAGAGAGCTTTGGATGGTCCTAGAGATGGGAGTGAGGAAGGTGTCCCTGGTCCCAGTCCCTCCAGGTAGACTTCCCCACAGCCCCTTACCCTGGCCAGCCAGGCCCTGGCTGTGGACGCTTGCTTTATTTCCAAACAGGTTCAGAAATGAAGTCGGGAGCCGGGCTGGAAGCAGGTATGGAAGGAAATGATGAGAACCCCCCAGGGATGGGGGAAGGGCTTCTGGACTAGTGGGGGAGGGAGCCTGAGAAGCATAGGGAAGCATGTGGAGGCCGCTAACTTACACTGCCCTCCCCCATGCCCAGGGCTAGTGCAGGCTAAGCACTGACAGGTCTTCTCAGCCAGCTTGCTCTAGGGGCACCTGAGGCCTGTGTCCTGGACCCCCAACACCCTCCCCTGGGATCCGGGCTCTGTCCTCTTCCGTCCATTCCTCTGTGTCCCTTCTCAGGAGAAGGCTTGGCTCCTCCTCTGGGGTCCGTCCTGTCCTTCAGGTCCCAGCCTCCCCCCAGGACCCCCTGGCTGCCCTACTTCTCCACACCATCACTGCTTAGTCATCACGCTCAGCCTGTCTATCCACTATGTATCCATGCCTTCTCGCTGGCCACCGCCTCCCACCCCCTACTGTGTGAAATGTGTCATCTCACCACCATCCTGGCACCCAGCACACAGGACTCCTCAGACTCCTTGGGTAGCTGTCCCACGGAAGATAGATGTCCCCTGCCCCCAAGCGGGACACCACAGGGCAGACCAAGCCCATGCCGAAGACCTGGGGACCTGTGCCTGGTTCTCCTGTCTCCCAGGCCCAGAGGGACCCAGGGAAGTGTCACTTCCTCCATCAAGCTTAGCGCCCCACCTCCCAGCCCAGGCAGAGGTAGCTGCTCTTCCTGCCGCCCCTCCCTCAGAGCGCTCCCTGGTGCTGGAAGCAGGTGTGGAAGGGAACGCCAGAGGTGGGGTCGCCTCTTGGTCTCCATTGCACGCGTTCAGGACACTCCTCCTGCGCTTCTGGACAGCCCTTCCCCCCTCCCCCTTTCCCTGCTGAGACTCATCCCAGACGAAGGGAGAGGGAGCTTAGCCCAGGGCAGTCCGCCTCCCACTCTCTCTCCAGGACAGCAGGAGGGACCTTCTGGTAGCACAAGGTAGCCAGGTCAGCCCCTCCGGGAGCTGAGCAAAGGGTAGCACATCCAGGCTAGCTGCCCGCGAAGGAACCGCCCACCCCAGGGTGGGCTCCGGCCTGCAGGTTCCCGGGCGGTCCTCAGGGCTCTGAGCTGGGACAAGCCTCGCAGGCCGTCTGCCAGCTTCCGTTGGACAGATGGAACACCGAGGCCCGGAGAGCTCGGGACCTTCCCAGGGTCATTGTTCTGCCTCTGAGTTCAGAAGAGACAAGATCAACTTCCCAGAGGAAATGTACTAGGACAACAAGGGCGAACTGAATCACACCCGAGTTCACAGAAGTCAAAAGCCAAGGGCCCAAGCACGCCCCAAACTGTTTCCCTTTCCCCAGGAATTCAAAACCCAGAGACAGGATGGTCTGTTTATCAACACACGTCCTAAGGGGCGGGGGTCAAGTTCACTTCCGCAGTCCTCCTATTTTGTGAGACCAACCCAAACACCGAACACCTCCCATTTTCAGTCGGTGGTGTTTCTCAATTCCACTTCTTCTTTGTCCCCTCCCCCTGCCACCCCGCAGGGTTCTCAGTAGTCACCAACAGGTTGCTAACTGAGAGTTAGATAGCGTGCAACTCTTGGGTGGAAAGGAAAGAAACTGGCATAGCCAGTTGGCGTTCCGAGAGGCCCCAGCTCTCTGCAGTGCCCAAGGCTTGAGGTTTTCTTTCTTTTGAAATAAAATAACAATAACTGCCTAAAACAAATGCCTAACTGTCCCACAAGGTCACTCACCCTGATAGACAATGGCACCATGGTAAGGGAGCCCAGTGCTTTAATAGGAACTTTCTTCAGTTCCTGCAGTGCCCCTTCCCACCCAGTGACAGCAGCACACACGAGGTTAGGCCCAGTGTCAGGCTCCGTTCCAACGCCTCAGCGTGCGTTTGTCCACTGCAGCCACATCCGTGAGGTCAGCACTGAAGGTCCTCACTCTGCAGAGAAGCAAGTTAGCGGGGAGTAGCAGCCCCCAAGTCCTAAGAGGTGGCTCCAGTTCCTTGCTCCTTCCCTGTGAGGTTTGCAGGGTGGCACAGCACAGGATAAGCCCATGGTGTGTGTG